TCAACAATTTTAAAACAATTTTTAAGCCACCTTTAAAAAAAAGGTCTCTACATGCAGACTAGTACAGTCCATTCCAATAAGGATCTAGAAACTGTCAAGTGATGGTCTAGTTCTACGTCATCCTGGTCCTACATCTGAAGGTCAAGTGTCATAGAACTGGGATGACTGAAGGTCAGAGCCTGCATCTTCTGAAGTTAGTTCCCAGGATTCTCATACAAACATGCTGTTTATGTACAAGCTACATATTAGAGTCAGCATTTACAGAAACAACATCAAAAGAATAGTGGGTTAGGGTGCAATTCCCTCCCCACTGTTACAGACGCAGCAGGACAGGAGAGCTTGGTGGGTGAGGACATGGCCTCTGCAATGGGAGTCTGGTTGGTTCAGAATTTCTGTTCCACCACCACAAGCTCTCATCATGGTGAGCACTGAATTCCCAGTCTCAGTTTCCTCATCTGTGTAATGGGGATGACAATAGTGCCATCTGCCAGAGTTGTCCGGAGACTGAAAGAGGAGTTCCTGACGAGAGCTCAGTGCACCACCAGCACATGCAGACCGAGGTCCTCAACCATGAGTGCGCAGACACTGCCTGAAAGCTATAAATAATAGGTCTTGGGGGTCAAGGGCCAGCCATTCTGACCTCACTGGCCTGGGGAGGGGCCCAGGAATCTGCATTTCAACACACACTCCCCAAGTGATTCTGAGGCAAGCGGAGAAAAACCTGTTCAATAAATGCTTGTTCCAGCCCTGGCCAGGTAGCTCAGTTGGTTAGAGTGCCATCCTGATATGCCAAGATTGTGGGTTCAATCTCTGATCAGGGCACATTCAAGAAACAACTAATGAATGCATAAATAAATGGAACAACAAATTAATGTTTCTCTCTCTCCCTTCCTCTCTTTATCTCAAGTCAGTAAATAAAAATTTAAATAAATAAAATAAATAAATGCTTGTCATTACCATCATTTATTTTTCTTGTCTCACTTGATGCTCAGGACAGTTCTGAAAGTTTGATCTAGTAACCCACAGGTGCAAAAAGAGGCTCAGAGAGGTAAGTCAACGGCCCCAGGTCACACAGCCAGCAATGGGCCAGGGGAGGATCTAAACTGGGTCTGCCAACCCCTGAGGCCCCGCCTCTCCAAGCAGGATGTGCCAGGGCCTCCTCCCTGGGCAGCTTTTGTCTTGGAAGAGGCTGGGTGGGTGTCCCCAGGCCTCCCCACCACCCCCATTGTTGCTTCCTTCTCTAGCTGCTAATCAGGTCTTGCAGAGCATCCCGTTTCCTGTCAGCCTACCGGCTGCCTCCTTTGCTCCTGATGGCACTTCCTGGCCTTGTGCCTTCCTATTACTGCCTTTGCCTCCAGAGGGGTTGGAGCAGGGGGTGGACAGTGGCAGAAATTGGGCATGAGATCCCCAGGGGCATGAGCCTCCCTCCTGGGGCCTGAATACCTCTTCATGGCGACCCTGTCCCCACCCCAGGGCCATAGGCTTGGATGGCCATCCTTTGTTTACAACATGACAGGAACAGCGGGTTTCGGGGCAGTCAATCCCCCCACAGACTGGGAACACAAAGGGAATTGGCAGGTGATGCCAGGACAGACCCCGTCCCGGTCCGCCACCAGCACCAGGTCTGAGACCCAGCAGGAAATGGTGCCTGCCGTCTCTGTGGGCACGTACACCACAAAGGCAGGCAGCTGCCAGGGCAGGGGTGAGGGGCTGGAGCACAGGGACAGAGAGCTGGCCTGGCTCCTCTGTGGTTGCCCCCACCTCTGGCAGGAGAAGGTAGAGTTAATCCTATCGAAGAAGGAAACACTGAGCTTTTTTGTTCATTCCACAAACAGTGGTCCAGTGTGCCGCCTTGGGACAGTTCCTCTCCAGCAGGTCCAGGGCTGACCCAGCCAACACTCCCTGCTCTCACCTGGCTTCCCCGGCTTCCCTCCTTCTCCGACGGGCTCTCCTCACTAGGAGAGCTACAAATCCCAGAGGCCCAAGACCTCCCTCCCTGTAAGCACATCCACTCCATGGCTTCAGGTACCAGCCATAAAGAAGCTCCCAGCTTCCAAACCTCATCTCCAGGCCACCTGTGCCCACCCATCCCCAACTGCCAACTTGACTCGCCACCTGGGTGTCTAAAGGCCATCTGAAACTCGACATGCCCAAAACAGAGAACTCTTTATCTCCTCCTCCCCAAAATGTATCTTCCTACGCCATGCCCCATCTCCAAACTAGTGTCCACTGACTGATCGAGTGCCTCTGGGCAAGGCCCTCTTCCGCTCAGCTCTCTGTCCAGCTGTGTAATGCAACCAGTTCGGGGACTTCCCAACCATTCATTCGTCCACGGAAAAACAGGGGCAACTATTCAAAGGACAGACTCCCATTGGGCAGCCTGGGAGATTCCAGTTGGCCTCGGTGGGGCCCCGGTGCCATAGTTTGTAAAAGCTCCTCGTATGAGTTTCATATCAGTCTGCGACACACACCATCCTCATCCCCCAGCTTCTTGGTTCCCACAAGCTCTGGTCTGGCCCCAGCTTCCCTATCTTCCAACCTGCAATTTTAATCTTGTTTATCTCAACAGCCCTGTGGGGTTAAGTCTCTGATTATCCCCATTTTACAGATGAGGAAACTGAGGCTCAAGGGGACATGACTGGTCCTCAGTCACATCAGAAGCAGAACCAGGGCACTGGATTCCACCTATATTCCTAAACCGAAACAGCCCCCACAAGCCCAGGCTTACTCTCTGAGATGGAACCCGTGCCCAGCCCCACCACAGGGAAGCCGATGGGCCTTCCAGAGCCGAGAGCTGCTGTTTCCCTTCTCCCACCGCCCCCCCACCCCAAATCCTGCAAAGTGTACCCTTCCCCCAGTGGGTCATGAGGTCACCTGGGAAAATCTGGCTCTGGGCCCAGGCAGACCCCAGCTGGATCTCAGTGTCCTAAGCTATAAAATGACACCTGCTTTGGGGTTACGAGGAGGAGAAGGAGCTTATGGCCCCAGATTTGAGGCCTGGAGTTGGGGTGCAAATTGAATGTCCCAGGTGGGTCCAGGGCTCAGTCTCCATGGAGACAGCCTGCCCGGGCCTTAGGGGGCCGCACACTACAGGGCCTGCCTATCTGCAGCAAATCCAGCCCTCCCAAAGACACAATAACAGGAAACAGCCTGGGAGAAGTGGACCAGGGCCAGCTGGAAGTGGCCCCTTCAGGGTGGAAAACCTTCTGGGTGTGGTGCTACTCCATCAGTGGAGGTCGGCGGAGCTGCACAGCACGCAGCTGGGACAGACGGGCCAACTGACGGAACACAGACGCCTCTCAGCCCGCAGCTCGGTGAGTGAACTCTCCCCAGCCCAGATCCACCTCTCACGCATCGCCATGTGCCCAAGACAGGAGGGTTCTTGCCTGGCCCTCATCTGGAGGACGGTTGCTGTTGGGGTCCCAGGGAAGAGCCAGCCGTCGGGCAGAGCAGAGCTGGGCGGTACACAAACTCTCGGGCATCCTCAGGGCTGAGGGAGGGGGAGGGGCTAGGCTCTCCCATAGGTCGACTCTCCCACTCGTTGTGACTCCCATGGGTGCCGCGCTCAAAGAGGGCAGGGCGCTGCCTGAGATGCCCAGCACACACGGCCAGAGGACCGGCACCCAGGTCTAGGCTGCCCTTGGTGCCCCTGCCCCCATGGGAGAGGATTAACCGGGGCCTGTCATCATGCCGTTACCCCAAGGCTCTGTGCTGGGACTGGGAGAGGAGCCCCGGAAGGGGAGCTCTGAGCCTCAGCCCCTCTGTCAGCCTGCATCCCCGTTTTCAGAAGACATAAACTGAGGATCAGTTTCGGGTACCTGAGGCCCTGCCTGCGGAAGCCCTGCCCCACTCAGGGCTGTGGGAGCTGGGGTCAGGGAGGCCACCCACCCTTTCTCCCCTGACACCCAGATACCCATGGCCCTCATATTTTGGGGAAATCCCTCAAAAGGACTTGAAGGCAAGTGGTCAGGGTAAGAGCCCAGCCTGGAGACGGCCGTCCCAGGTGCAGATCCCAACTCTACCTTTCACTTCCTGAGTGACTTTGGGGAAATTACTCCACATTATCAAACCTCAGTCTGCCTGTCTGGACAATGGCGATGGGGTCTTTTTACAATTCACCGTGGGAACAAGATCCAGTGCGTAGAAGGCTCTCAAACAATGGAGCTCGTTCTTTTCCTGCTACCGACCACCCCATGAGTGAGATATAGCCTGCCCGTTTCCCAGCAAAGGAAACTGAGATTCGGAGAAGTTAAGTAAGAGCTGGGGTGGGGGGATTCAAAACAGGATCTTGTGCCCTAAAGCCTGGGCTCTTGCTTCTCCGTGTCTCAACTTTCTCAACTGTAAAACAAAGGAAGCGGGCTCTTCGTGAGTCAATTTAAGGAGGCGAAGTACACACCTGGCTCCAGGAGAGGCTCATAGTAGGGCATCTCCAAGAAATCACAGCTGAATTTATCTGTTACCCCAGAGCCAACCGTGGCTGTGAATGTTAGGAGAGTTTTGGCCCCTGAGGTCCGTCTGTCCCCAGCAGGTGAGAGGGAGGAGGTGGAAGCCAGAGGATCTCAACTCAGCTCTAGAGGGCAGCAGGTGATCTCCAGGGGCCCCCGGGGGTCAGGCAGCCCTGCCAATGCCTGCTTACTGTGGTGAGGGGTTAGGGGAGGCATCCACTGGCCTTGAAGGGGCTAAACTGCCCGCCCTGCAGTCTGGACCTGAGCAATTGTGTTGCTGAACAAGGGCCGGACATGGGGGCAGGAAGCTAGAGCTTATTTTCTCCCAAAGTTAGATGACTCACACAGCTCTACTGCTAAATCGGCGACACAAGGTGGACACAGTGGCCACCAGCTTGGGAAAAATCCTGGGCCCCTTACCCATGTGGACCCATGCCTGCTACCTCTAACACTTTTTTGCACCCCCTCAGAGGCCCTGAAGCTACTAAAAGAATATCCATTTGACAGATGAGACCACAGAGGCTGCGAGAGGCTGAGTGGTCAGTCCAAGGTTACAGGATGAGGTGAAAGCAGGATATGAGTGAGCCCAGTTCCTTCTGACCCCACAGTCAAGCTTGGAGAGGGGAGAAGTCGGGAGGATAGCACCTGACAGTTCAAGCCATAGAAGCAGGCACCAGGATGAGCCCGGGGCCCAATAACCCTAGGGAAGGAATGTTCTAGGAGACAAGCCCTGCCCTGAGGAGCTTGGCTTCTGGCTGGAGAGATACTTAAAAGCCCATTCTAACCAGGTCCAAGATGATGCTGGGTGGAGAAATCATAGAAGGCTTCCTGGAGGAAGAGCAGGAGCCCCATAGGATACTGGCAGGTCTTAGGTCCACAATCGGATCTTCAATCTTATCTCTCTGGGGCAGGGAATGAACCCAAACGTCCCTAAATTCATTCAGGGACCTCCAGATTGCCTGCGAGGGGCCACAGTATAACAATGAGATCCCGGCAGGTGTAGATAGTAGGAGGAGGAGGCATCAGGCCAGGCAGGCGGTGAGTGCGATTTCCTTCTGGAGAGCGATTTCCTTCTAGACTTGGGGTGAAACCAGGAAATGAGGTCAGGTGTGAGTCAGCCAGTTGAGTCCAAAACCTCCAGGCGGGAGGGAGTAGATGAGGGTCGAGACATTTACTGAGCACCTACTGTATACCGGGCTTCCAACCCATGATTTCATTTAATGCTCCTAACTAGGGAGGCAGCTATCATTGATGAAGCAGCTAGAGCTCAGAAACGGTAAGGGATGGGCCTAAGGCCACACAGCTCATGAGTGACTAGGCAGGCTCAAACAAGCTCACTCATTCTGTTGGCCCCACTGACTACCTCAGAGCCCATCAAAGTCAGGAAGCCCAGAGGAGGCTAGTAAAGGCCCTGTAGGGTGGGTGGTCTCTCCCTGAAGCTTGGAGATGCCCCATTAGGAGACAGGGCCATAGACTGGATGATCCCGGAGCCCAGAGACCCCAGCACAAATTTGTTTCAAATCGCACACTAGTTCTGATGAATGAGTAGAATCTACTTCAAAGATTGTATTGAGGGCTCAAGGGCTGAGTTCAGGTTCAGTAGGAATGAACGCTGTGGTTGATTAGTGATGTCTACCGAGGGTTTGGGAACGGATGAGTGGCAACCCATGAGCTCTGTTTTGCCAGGCCCACTATAAGAGGCCCCTGCACAGTGGCGGGTAGGTATTCATTGGGGACCATAAGAAGAATAATCTTAATGTCCTCAAAGGATCAAAATCTTAAAGTTGGAGTGTCTGACATCATCGTGGGCCATCAGAGAGGCTATTTGGGGACAAGGAGGAGCTTCTTTGAGTTACAGCTACTATTGCAGGCTGGCTCTGACCACCCAAGGCGTCTGCAAATATGCAGATTTGTCTTGAATCCTAAATGGGGAAGGATGCAGTCACAAGAACAGAACTGATGGCTGAGGCAGGATGGCAGGCAGCAGTGGAGACACTAACACGTCAAGGTCCGGGAAGGCCCTGAGTTCATGCAGCTGGAGGTTAGATGAAATGGAGACAGACCCAGACCTGCCTGGACAGAGACATTTGGCTGTGCTAGGGACAGGAGTTGATCAGAAGGCCTCACAGAGGAAGCGCCCTGGGGCTTGAAAAGAAGGATGGCATTCACTCAGGGGACACAGCAAGGAAGGGCACTCAGGAAGAGGGAATAGCCTATGCAAAAATCCTGCTGGAGAGAGGAACAGCACTGTGAGTTCCAGAAATGTCTTGTTCTCCTCATGGTGGGAAGGGGCAGGGAGGTGGGGAAGAGGAGAGCCAGAGAGGTGGGCAGGGGACACGCCTCCTGCTGGGCCTTGAACCCTGGCTCAGGAGCTAGATTCATCCTGCAGGGGTTGGGGAGCCAGGAAGAGGGGTCAGCAGGGAGAGCGGTCAGCAGGGGAGCAGTGTGGTCAGTGTAGTCAGCTCTCAGCAGAGTAGAATCCCGAGGGGAGGGGATCAGGTCTGGGACCCAGAGGAGCAGGTCCCTGGGCTGAACTGAGCCATAAACCAGGAGAAATCCCCGGGGGCCAGCTCATAGCTGCCCAGTCCCACCCCCACACACCCCATCCCCAAGACTCCCAGGGCCTCACCCTGCATCCTCCCAGTGTGTGTGGTTGCCAACGCCCAGCTATAAATGCTGGGGCTTGAGCAAACAATTTGAGAGTCCCTGAAGGAGTTTGGGGATCCCTGGCTCCAACCTCTACCCTGGACAGATGTGGTGGGGTGGGACGGTTGCGGGAAGAATTGCCCACAGCCACACAGGGAGTGTGGCGCCAGCAAGTCCCCTCCCAAAGATATACCTCGTGCATGCTCTGGGCCAGCCCCTCATCCCTGACCCCGGGCCTCTGGGCTAGAGCCCAGAGTCTGCAGGAGGTTGTGCTGGGACTAAGTGTCCAGTCCCTCCCCAGTCTGGGGCTTTGCCTGGGGCTGGGCTCAGCTGCCAGGTCTTGTCCCAGCTGACACTGGGTGTGCTGGGTGGGAACAGAGGGGTGAGACCCAGAGCAGAGGCTCTTCAGGAGTTGGTGTGGGCAGATTCCTGGAGACAGGGAAGTGTACTTGTGTGGTACTTGAGGGTGTGGTGTATCCATGAGGCCCGAGGATGTCATATGTGTATCCCCAACCTAAAGGCTCCCTCCACGCCACCCTCAAGGGCCCTTGGCCTACTCAATAACTGTCCAAAGCCCAGACTGAGCCCCTGGAACCTCAGGCTTGAGCAGGGCCCTGGTCAGGTCAAGGAGCAGGGGTCTGCCCAATGGTCAGGGGCAGGGCCAAGCCAGGGGTATCTGCCAGGCTGCCCCTCTGAGTGGACCCCAGCTGGATCCAGGCTTCCTAGGGTTGATTTAGCTACAAATGGAGCAGCTCCAGCCCCTCCCTCCCCTCCCTTTGTGCCCTGTGACCCCTTTTATTTTGTTTTCATTTTGTTTTTTTGTTAATCTTACCCGAGGATATTTTTCCATTGATTTTTAAAGACAGTGGAAGGGAGGGAGAGAGAGAAAGGAAGAAACAGAGAAACACCGATGTGAGAGACACACATCGATTCGTTGCCTCCCACACGAACCCCAACCCAGGTATGTGCCCTTGAACAGGGATCCAACCTGTAACCCTTCAGTGCGTGGGCCTACGCTCTAACCACTAAGCAACACTGGCCAGGGCCTAGTCCCTCCTTTTAAAGAGCACAGAGCTAAGTAGATTTCATGGCCCCTTCAAGGCTAAACCCCAGCAACATATGGGAGCCACAAAGAGGGGTGCAGGGAGCCCCCCACAGCTCCCTGCACCCCTCCATCAAAGCACGTATCACAACTTGAAACTACATTTTTATCAAATGGTAGC